CGACGAAAACACCTAAAACTATCAACTAGGGTCTAGGGTGGCTCGGGGTCGACGAAACCACCTAAACCTATCAATTGGGGTTTTGGTGGCTAGGGGTCGACGAAAACACCTAAAACTATCAATTATGCTCTAGGGTGGCTCGGGGTCGATGAAACCACCTAAAAGAATCAATTAGGGTTTTGGTGGCTCCGGTTCGACAAAAACACCTAAACCTATCATCTAGGGTCTAGGGTGGCTCGGGGTCGACAAAACCACCTAAACACAAGCATCTTGGGTTTTGGGTGGCACCATAACAAAAGAATGATGAGGAAGCATTTAAGCATCACTCTAACATAAGAAACTATTCCTTATGCAAATGCATTTAAGCATTTAAGCATCAGTATAAGATAAGCATCTTCCAATGCTTGGTATGTCATCATTTTCAGTCTAACATTCAAAGCAAACAATACTTGCCGGAGTTCAACACATTATGGGCATACACAACCATTGTTCACAATACATAGTGGAGTTCAAATGCACAATCCATCCTTTTCTCACAAAAGGATGAATAGCATAACTACTAGGTACATAAACATCCAGAGTTCCCAATTGCTAGAACCATACATTACACAAACATAATTCTAAGTTACTAGGTCATTGCACGGCCATCCTTCCTAAAAGGTCTGCAATGCCCACTAATCTCAATTCATCTTGTTCAGTTCTGTAAGATGGCCTGGATCCCCTTGATCTTCTCCTTGAGCTTCTCCTCTGCCTTCATGAGCCCACTAATGTTAAGCTCTTGCATGTGCTTCTCTTCATTATGGTTTTCCTTGAGCTTCAGCAGATCAGCAACCTAAAACTTCAACTCTAGCTTCTCTTGGGTGACCTTCTCCTCAAACTTTGTGAACTCTGCATTCTTTAACTCCAAATTCATCCTAGCCTCACTCAGCAATTCCTTTTCTTTCATATTCTTCAACTTCAGGTTCCGGATGACAGTTGCTTGAGCACTTGCCAGGTTGCACAGGAGTTCATACTTCCATTGAAGCTTCTCTATAACTGCATCTTTCTTTGCCATTTCTTCCTTCATACCAGCCACCAATTCAACTCTGCATTGGTGCTGATATGTGATGTTGGACTGCAGATAACTGAAATCCACAACCCTATCCTCCTGCATATCCACAAGTTGATGCACATCTTTCACTAACTTGGCATAGTCTGCATCCAGCTTGTTTTTTTATTCTGTCAAATGGTGAATATAGTTAAAGCACTTTCAAGATTATCATTCACCCTAGCAGACTTGCTCTCTTCAACCATTGACCAAAGCTTCAACAATGCATTGTCCATTGTTGGGGGCCACTGCTCATTAACCCACTGAACAAACCCACAATTCTGACCTTCCTGGAAAAATAACAAGGGCAAAATTTAGTACAATACAACTACTATGAGTAGTAAGCAACAGTTAGTTGATGGCAGTATCTAATGTTGGTACTGACCAACACTGAATTTGCACAGCCATGTGCTAAGCAACAGGAGCACATTGTAAAATAACTTAACGTAATCCTACAATGGGTGATCAATATATTTAGCAGAGTAACACTCCATTCAACTTAGCATGTGCTAAGCAACAGGAGCATATATTTAGCAGAATAACTAATTAGAATTGACCATTAATATAATGGAATCCTACAATGTGCACTACTATTGAACTACTTTGCCCTATATCACTAACAAATGGAACATAGACATCACTGAATCAAGGTTATCAAAGCACTACATTAGCCCAACTAAATACACTACATTAGCATGCAGCAAAAAACTATCTAATGAGACTACCTACTGTCAGCAGTAAGCAACAGTTACTTAGTGGCTCCACTAACTTAATATTGAGCAACACTACATTTGGAAACAAATATAAATAAATAGCATGTGCACACAACAGGAGCATATATTTAGCAGAAATGCACTCCATTGAACTTAGTATTGAGCATTCCTACAATGAGCACTACAGTAGGGCATATATGACTAACAAATTTACCATAGACATAACTGAATCACGCTTGGCAAACAAGACTCTGCCACTTGCAATGAACACATCCAGTGCATAATCAATAAGGCAAGAAAAATACCGGCTCTGTACATGCTAAGAACCTTCTCCCAGTCATTGTTCCTTCAAATGCAACAAGCCTCTCTGATGGCTTCCCATGCTTGTCGCAGAACGACATCAAATCTAGCTCAAGGCCCTTGTAATCCGAGTCCTCAAGTGAGAAAGGCACCTGCCCAAGCAAAATCCAAGTTACCATCATGTGCAGAGGACGAGGACAAAGCAAATCAAACAAAATCCTCACAACAAAGACCACCTACACAGAAAAATCGCCAAAATTTCTAAACCTAACCCTAGCTCCAATGGAGTAACTGACCTGGTTGAGCCCATCGGTGGAGGTTTCGGAGTACATGTACGTGAGGCTTGACTTGTCATCGCTGCTCTCGTCCTCCAAAACCATGGCTACAGCGGCGTGGTGTGGCGGCCGGCGGGGGCGAGCACAGGCGGCGGCGGCGAGGCAGAGAGCAGGAAGAAGAAGGCAGAGCAGAGCGAAGAATGAGCGGGGTTTGGCTCAGTCCGCACCAGTCGCGCCTAAACGGTGCGACCTGGGCTCGTCCGAGTGAGCGCGCGGGCACGCGCTCACTGGCCAACGTGGCACCTGACAGGCGGGCCCAACCGGTCAGATTCCCTGTCAATACGTATAAAACACACTTTTAGCCTCTTTTGCAACGTCTCGCCCCAAACCTGGTACAGACACGTAAAAATTACCAATCTTAATACCAATCTACTTCCAATGCCCCATGCCTTCAGTTGTGGTGCTTCTGTGCAATTTACTCACCCGAGGCTGACTACCACGCCAGGGAAGGAGAGGTTTGCTGAGCGCTCATCCGGCGGCCTCTCGTACACGCCGAAATACGCAGCAACACATATAGCCAGTTTATATTTCACAAAGCTGAAATTCAGACTAGGTAGCGTATCCACGCCCACGCGGTTACCTGGATCGATTCCAAATCCTGGCATTATAAACTGAATCTGTGGTGTTACATGTAAATCTTGAATGAACAAGTTCAGCTGAACATGAATGAATCCATCTGGATTGCCCCAAGCGAACCTTTACATCGCCAGCCAAAATTCAAAACTAGGATCATCTATGAGCCAGACTTCACAATGAACTATAGCTTTACTTCTGGACAATGAAATATAGTGATACGTTTGGGTATCATCTACATCTACATACTTCGGTAAATAAAACTATCATCCGAAAATTTATTTGTGCTGTCTGAACTGAGAGGACAGACTCCATGCGCCATGCCTCAGACCTCTGCAGTTGGGTTCACTGCGTCCATGAGTTTGTATCTTTTCTCTTCAACACCAGTGACGCCCATTTTTATCTCAATGATTGTATGAAGAGGTATCTAGAGGAACAAATGATTTCAGTCGTGACGAACAAATGATTTCAGCCAGGATGACACTATAAGATGTTGCACACGTGCTTACTTCAATCTTAGGAACTTCCTCCAGTGGTTTGTCCGCGAAATACGCATATAGTGATCTCAGCACAGCCTACAAGAGTTTCTTCCCTCATACATCCATAATGCATACTTCGGTAAGAAAAGGTCTAGAAAAATATAAAAGCTGGACATGCTTACCTGGTGAGCTATGACTACCACTGGGGCACGCTGCCTTTCAAGCTCAATTATTACAGGTTCCAATCTGCACACAGAAAATTGACAAGATTAAGAGAGGCACCAACAAGAAATACACTAGTTGAATTATGTAAAGAGGCATGTGATGCTACTAAGCAACTCGGATTAACCTCTGAATGACATCGAGGTAGGATTCTCCTCTAGGATAACGGTACCTCAGCTTGTCTTTGCGACGTGATCTAAACAGACACATATAGGTAAATGAAATCTTCTTCAAGAAAATGAGGAACGGTAAAAATTCAGACATAGATTCACAGGCACCGGATGTGCAGAGACTCCTGGATTGCTGGTTGACAGATGCTGCGTTCATATATCATGGTACGTTGTTAACCATTTCACTAAATTTCCTAACTTTATAACAGATTTATACAAAATATTACAAGCTAAAATACTGTATAGAAAAACCCATCGATAAGGATTAGTATGATGCTCGATTAATATTGCATGATTAAAAGAACAATCCGTGGCTTGAATTTGATCAGATTGTTGCTACAAATCACTGAGCCTCTTGAAGTCTTGATTATAGGTGCAAGCTTGGTTTACTAGTGTATGTTTATAATTGTGCAAGCTTGGCCTGGTAGGATCTGTTCTACTTGGCGGGATATGGAGTTGCTAAAATTATAGGTGCATCAATCAATATCGTGTGGCATGCCTTGTTTCCAGGGAAGAAAAGAAGCAATAAAATCAGTGAATTTACATACTCATATTCTTCAGGTTTATTTTTCTTTACTTCATCATATGTCATCCCATCACAAACACCAGCATTTATCTCATCAAGGGCACGCCATTGTATCTACAAGAAATGTGGGAAAACCATTTAGTGTTCCCAGCTCCTATCAGGGGCAGATAAATCTTGCTGAGCTTTGTTAATTATTAATGGCAACCTACCTTTGGAAATCCGATGATTGGATATGCAGTTAATATTGTCCTCTGGAGTGTGCTAGTCCAAATCTGAATCGGATTTTGCACATATATTTAGCAAGTAGGTTTCTTTCTCAAAAGTAGTAACAAAAGGCATACTCACAGAGGCGGTTCTCTCAGACTTCAGTCGCTTCTCTACAAAGCTTGCAAGTTTCCTTGAATAAACCTCCCCAGCCTCACTGCAAACCATTTATTTTCAGTTATGTAAAGCCAAAGCATAGGTTTTCAAATATAACATGCACAGGGGACTGACAAAAGGAAAGATGAAAACTACCGTGCCCAGACATGCAATGACCAGGTTGTTGATTGGTACTCTGTCCCACAATATAAGACGTTTTTGCAAACTGTTTTAGCTTGCAAAAACATCTTATACTGTGGGACAGAGGGAGTATATCATTATGCATGAAGTTACTGGTCTCCTTCCACCAGGGCATGCTATAATCCCCCAATCCTTTTCCCTTCTCTCTTTTTCCTTCTCCATTTTTAGTACAAATAGAGATGAATGTCCAAAAAATTTCTATAGACAATAAAGGTTACTGGTATGTATAACATTAGATAATCACACGTTCAGTTTAAATAATCATGCACGCGGAGGTGCCATATGGATAGTCTAAGAAAGGCACTCAACTAGAAAGGGAAAAAACCGTTCAAGAACTAGAAAAAGAAAAAGAAAACTTAGATTAGCTAGCACAAAAAGGATTGTTCAGCCCAAATTTTATAATTTGGGCCTATAAATGTTGTCCCCTTAGTGGGCAGATGGTTTTACAGCAAGCACGAAAGATTAATAACCATTTAGAACTTCTGATGTCATGTTCCTTAGTGTAGTACCCAAATGGAACTCAGTATGGCAGCAAAGGCTAAACAACAAGACTCTAGGACAAAGAAATCGAATACCTCAAAGATGAATCTCCACCGATTCTTCCTCTGACATTATCTAAACTTTCCCCATGCCTAGTTAACAGGATAGGACGAGGTGTAAGATGGCAGTTCACCTGTAACAACAATAAATGTGTCAGTTAACAAAACAAGTAGCATTGGAACCAAAACAGCAGCATGCCCCTTAATTACATCCGCTACTACCAGAAAAAAATGGAGCTCGCCAATATAGTAATAACATAAGCCATAAGCATGATTCAGGGCCACTGTCAGTATTATGCATTCAATATCAATTTGAAAACTAGGTTAACATGGCAAGCATTGCTGCTATCGACCTTAAAGTGGTAGTAGTCAATCGCATGAAAGGTACCCAAAAGGAAACATGGTCCAATGGAAAGTTCCCTGGGTCCTTATACAACATCAATTGTAGAGTATCGAGCAGAGCAAGGAAAAATATAGTTCCAATTTTCAAATATGCAGAGAACAGTGCATAAAATTAGAGAGACCCGAGATAGATGCTTGTATCATTGAATCACTAAACGAAACTCACATTGCAATTTGATCTACCATTAGATGAATTAGAAATTATAATCATAATGAACTTCAAAGCAATCAGTTAATCTTAAGGTGTGATAAGAAAAGGTTCAGATATTCTGGATATATACCAAGAAGAAAACAATCCGTCCAGGCAAGTAACCACTTATATTGTTGATCTGCATGAAGAAGTAATAGATAGATTAGGATATTTGGAACTAGTTGCAAAGATTGCAAGTTAATAATATCGTCTTCACCACAGCAGTATATACTTGCATCTAGTCCACATATTAGGTTTTATAAAGCAAGCGCGAAGAGAACCGACTCTTAGATTGTATAGTTAATAAGTATACAGTTATCACAAAATAAAAAGAAACACCAAATTTCAAACAATGTCCATGATAGTATGAAACCAGATGAATTTTGGCTCTATTTAACATATCTCAGATTGACTGCTCATACCTGCAACTGGCCCCCGTTCCCACTAACCATATCGATCATTTTTATGTATGACCCTTCATCTACTGGTTCATACACCTGCACAGATTTCAAATTATTTGGGTATAACTATTCCGAATTCTACACACATTTTTTTCCCCAAATAACACAATTTAGCAGCTATGGACCTTCTCATAATATGCCAGTCGCTCTTTGAAATCTCGCACACCAGCTTCAAAATCTGTTCTGTAATACAAACAACATCAATGACATAAGAAATGCATTGATATGATGTTGACAAGTGAGTAGGCAAGATGTTTCTCACTGCTCCGCATAATCGGGACTTTGTTGAACTTTCAGGCGAATATTTCTCTCAAGAACATCCTGATCATTACATATTGTTTCCACAAAGATGATCTAGAAAGTAGAACGAATGGCCAATATTAAAGGGTAGACAATTAGGTCACAAACTGCACAGTAACTCGACATATTTAACATGTGTGGTGGCGCATTTGGTCTACATGGTGCTTTATGTGACTCAAATCAGAATATGAAGAGCAATATTAAATGTGCAAAACAATGCCAAAGTGAGTGGTGTTTTGTTGAACAGGTCACTTGGACCTAGCGTTTGGTGCAACTCAAAATAGCTGGTGTGATGTCAATTTATTCTGTTGTGATTATATTAGTCTTTCAGATAATAATAGTAATTACTATGGTTTATTTATGTGTAAGAACACTAGAGTAAATTTTGTTACTTCCTCCTGATTAAATTTTAGAGATCATGCTTTTAGAAATTCGCCCTTTAAAATGTGAATGCATTCACTAAGCGTGCGCACACAACAATTACTTTAAGGCCAACACGAACAAAAATGTTCACATGGAAATGGAACAGTATTCGCCCCTGGAGTTTATCCTGAACGTATACCCCATGATAAATGGTTTCAGGTGTTACTTAAAAAAAACGCAGGGGACATGGCCAGCTACACTGAAAACGTGAAAAGTGAAAGTGACAACTATCACCAATGGATCAACGGTCAGCTACTTACTAGGTGAATCCAAATGGTTCAATTAACCAAGAAGACACTCAAGAGCTACCGCCGATTTAATTTGTACCTTACATTTTCCTTCAGCCATTTTCATCAGCATGTTCCTTCGACTTCTTGTGCTGTTTGTGGCATCACAAATACCAACCTGCAGACCGGTAGAAATAACCATAATCAGTTACTAAAAAAAGAGAATAACACAAGAAAAATTGCCTTACCTGGCCACCTTCCTCCATCCAGGATAGCATATCTTCCATTGCTAATGCTGCCACCTAAAAAGGACGAAATAATTTAGCATAAAATTCAAGAATAAGTGTTTCATGGAAAGCATATAGGTTTATTACTTTGTTATGTATGAAAATGCACACAAACTAGATTAGCAGAAAGTAAATTATTCCCTTAGGGAAAAAATGTGTCTGACAATCAACATCAACATATATAGAAGGATCTTGAGCTCTAGATTGTCCACTTGGTATTACCTATTTCATCATGAACATACTTCCATAATTGTAACAGCATACTGGACACATGTTAGTAGTCAAAATAGTGCACTGGACCGTGTTATTATCCAAAATTGCACAGATTTGGAATTAGAGGGAGTAGCATTGGCCATGCTCCAGGTTCAACATAAACACCTATGATTTCCATGTTACTTTTGACTTTCAACATAGTAATAGTAGCAATGCACCAACCTCGTTACGTGCCTCCACACCCTCCTTGTTATCTCCACGAAAGAAATCAGCAGTCTATACAAAATGATGCAATTAGAGAACTATTCCAGAACAAAACTCATAAATAGGACCATAACTTCAAAGTACATTCAGATTTAAAATACTGCATGAGTGAATAAAATCCTATGATGGACTCGGTGGAAATGGAAATGAAAAGATCCTCATTTCTCATGAAAACCACCAGAAATTTAGCCAGTTGACAGTAGCACCTGAGCATTGTTAAAATACTGCAATGTTAGTAACAGTGATTAGGCACATAAGAATGCAAGTACCTGATTAGTGCCATGCTTGAGCCGACGGTACTACATTTGAAACATCAGAAAATACATAGGGTCAGCGACTATTCCATAAACATGTGCAGTTATCTAGAAATCTAGCTTAAGCTAAATGTTCACCTTTCCAACATTGAAGTGTTTTGTTTCGTGACCTAACCATCGGAGATATCTTGTAAGCTTAGCTGCTGTAAATGTCTTACCACGAGCTGGCAGCCCAACCTACAATGTCAGCACACGATTGCAGAAGGACAGTCAGGGTAGTTGAAACAACAGAAAATGCTTCAAGGAGTGCAGAGGAATGAGTATAACCATATTTAACTATATTCATATCTTGTCAACCATAAATATTTAACTGAGCGATTATCCACACAAAAAAAATCCTGAGGTAGTGCTGCACAATATTTGTTGTTAAATAATTTGTTGAACACATAAGTGACATGAAAATTACCAGCACAATGACTAACTTGCGGTCCTCTTTTGGTCCGTACATCTGATCAGCTACAGCTGCTGCTGCAACAGCTCCTTCTGCTGCTGGCATACCCTGATAGCCAAAGCTGAAAGAACTTCAGTTGGCAGACTTGAAAACATGTATTTTTTGATAGGTTCAGAAACTTCATAGTGCAAGACTTTTCATAGGGGATGAATTTTTATTTTTAAAGAAGAAATCAAAGGGTGGAGTTCATATGTGATACTATATAATAGCTTGAAACAAATGAGCTGATGAGTTTATGCACAATAAATATTTCTACACAGTTACTGTAGTTTACGATTCGAGAGAACTATGTACAACGTATCCCCTGCATGAACTGCAATAACGAAGAAGTTATGCAAGTTTCAATGAGTTAAAGCTTAACTCCCTCCGTTTCATAATATAAGACAATATTACATCTAATATATGAGTATATTGGATGTAATAACGTCTTTATTATGGGACGGAGGGAGTACCTATTTAGCATATATCAAATAGCTCAACAATACATACCAACTTTGCTTCAGAATCCTGCTTGATGTTGCTCGTTGAAATGGTTTCGTTTGTTGGTCTAGCAAACCTTGGCGAACCAACACCTCTATCAACAAAGACTGCCTTTTGTTCTTCCTGTGACGGTGTATGTCTTCCATCTACGTCCTGAGGCACAAGTTATAAATCATTCCTAGTGTTGATATTGACAGAAAGTCCTCTATCCAAATGCAGGAAAATGTAAACGTATATATTTCAAAAGTTGTTTCTAATCTGAATAGGATGTGTTCGCCTCCTTCGGCTGTTGAGCAAATGACAATGATACCAGACACACAAACAGTGGTATACACAACAGGGGGTCAGCCAAGGCGGCTTAGCGGGGGCACTTGCTATGGCCAGAAGGTCCGGTACAATCCCAGGCATGCCCAGAGCATCGGCTTTGGGAAACCTGACAAATGCATGTTTAGTTCTTCATGTCACACTATCCTGGTCTTACTAGCAATAGTTACATTTTAATCCTCCCATGAGGCATAAATAAATCAGAAAAAAACTAAAAGAATATTTCATAAACAAAAGCTTCTTCGGCTGCTACAGAAATAATTGCAATGTTTCAGTTCGTAGACATAGACTGCGAGCCAACTGTATGGCACCTATGCATATTAAACGAGTTTCAGCCTCTAACGCATGCAGATAAGTCCATCCATAAGATGAACGTCCATTATCTGCTTACTTAAATGATACAGAGGAATATACTTTTGATAAGGCTTAAGTTCAAACAAGTAAAGAAAACTTGGTAGCTCCATGACCACAGGAAAACTCCAAGCACGTCACTGGTAACTAGTCACATTTTGTAAGATATATAACATAATAATTAATAATAGAAACTTAGTCCTGGCTCATAATCTCATTTAACTTAAATCAGTTCAACCTAATCCTTTTTTTTTCTGAATGAACAAACAGAAGACCTAACAGAAAGTAGCTCATTTGTCAGTGGATATCACAGTGCTAAGATGACAATATTTACAATGTGGCTTCTACGAAAGCTGCCCAAATTTCCACATGGTTTACTAAAAAGGGCAGCAACTACCCTTCTACAATGGACTGTATAAATGAAGAAATGTCGACGCTACATGATTTAAAGCTAACAGCCAATTCTCAATTGAGCAGAGAAAACTAGGTCATACCTTCTTTGTGTTAGCATAATGATTCGCAGGACCGTCGAGCGAATTGTGCAAAATGACCATGGTGGTATCATTGTTTGACGATAAAGAGCGGGGATTCTCAGTCAAGTTAGCTGCATAAACAACACCTGAGCCCATGTTGGGTGTTGTTGGAACTACATACTTCTCTAAATCAAGCTCCAAACCAGAAGCGAAGTCATTCTGCTTGAGGGAAAAAGACAAAATTGGCAGAACAGAAAAGGAAGCACCAGCTATTGTGCAAATAGAAACGCAGGCAACATATTTTTGGGAAACCAATTTTTCTGAAAGTACAGAGTAACACGGAAGACCCTTGAACCTAGTTCTTTACACTTTAATATATTTTGCCAAATCTGGGTGTCACACTTTGCAGAAAGACAGCTTTGGACATGAGTGGGGCTGTCTAAATTAGTTAGGGCAGCTAAACTTTTAGTTTTAGGTCATATCAAATATGTATGTTAAATACATTTGGTCTTTGCCTGCAGTCCTACGCTGGGATGTTCTTTTCCATTTGATTTTCTGCTTTGTTTAATACATTCTAAATGCTTGCAGTTCTTCTAAAGGTAAATTGTCACCATTCTGAGCATTGCTCCAATAATTCCACTGGTCACGGATTCTTGTGGCCATTGGAAGCATACCATTGAACTTTTTGACACTTGACAACCAGAGTAATATGGCAACTCTTTCTAAAATACTTCCATAATATTATAAACTTTAAACATTGTGACGGAAACTAATAGTCAAGCATCTCAAACACACTGATGACCAGAGGGAGTAGGTTACATTCACAAGTACGTGAACTGAAACATCAAAGTAATATATAAGACATACTGTCGGTCAAGGTTCTGAAATCTGCTGGGTACTGGGTCAGTTTCACACCCTTTTGAGTAAACACATCACTTTACTACACCAATTAATAGTGGGAAATGGGAACTTGTTGAAACAAGTGAGTTTTGCTAGGAACCAGAATGAGGTCCGGCTCCACAACCAAGTAGCAAGCTGTCTCCAGCAGTCAACCTATTACATAGCACCCTCTATGGTATCGGACTTTACAACAAAGCATTGGCTGGAAACTAGATGCTACAAGCCTAGCTATGACCAGCCTTTAAACGAAACCAGGTTTTTGCAAAATAAGCATATGTAGTTATATACTATCAATTACAAGATTATTGGAGGGTTATGTTTACAGTTTCGTAATTACATGCAGCAGCACAATAAGTCAAAATACAAAAGTAAGATAAAGTTAAAAGAATACAAACCTCGTCCCTGGCTTCAGTCTCAGTGTTCATAACGACATCATAGGTCCCTCGCACCCTTGAAGGCTGAAGATTCTCCTGATGAGCCTTCCAGCTAGCGGCTAGGTCAAATGGGGACAACATCTCTGTCTCAACCCAAACCTTACACTCAAGTGAATCTTTCTCAGTGAGTTTAAAGACTGCATCCGTCATTTCCACTTGATTGCTCCCGCAACCTAGCGGTCGGTTCGGTCCCTCCTCAACAATGCACTCTGAGCTATCGTCTTTTGCCTTCAATAGTAACTTGAAATCCAGTGTTTCTAACAAAACATAACAAATAAAGGGCATAAAAGCTAGTCAGAATGCTCAAAAAACTGAACAGAATCTAACTCCCTGCATATGTAGTAAGTAAACAACTCAGTTAACCAGAGCATAGCAAATGATCAGCTCAAGAATCACTTTATTTCATTTCGAAGGCCCAGCTCCATGTACTACATTGTTATACTCAGCAATGACAAATCACTAGTTCATGACAAAATATGTACACACATTAAACAGACAGGAGACAGCCCCAATAAATAATTAAAGCCCAACCCAACAACTCAAACCAGAGCATCCCAGCGGCATGCCACAGCAAGATAGCTCATCATAGCACAAACCTCCCAGAAGGGATCTCAAACCCACATGGAGTTGTCGAACAGCATGATAAAGTGAGCCAACTCACCGTGTCGAGAAGGGAGGACGCAGCTGAGCTCCCAAATGGCGGCCGCCGCCCGCTCCATCGGCAGCTGCGAACACCACCAGGAAAAAAAATCCATCAATCTCCGCACGGGAACACACTCGCGAACAAGAGGGGATAGATGCGACGCTTACGGCTTTGGAAGGGTCCCACGAGCCGGCGGCGGGGTGGGAGCCGAAGAGGTGAGGGGCGAGGTCGAGCGCCGCCAGGCGGAGGCTCTCCAACTTGACCGAGACATACTGATGGTCGGATACGCCGCCGGAGCTCGCTGCCGTCGCCATCGCCGGGGAGGCCAGAAGGAAGGGGGACTTGGAAGGTGCCGGAAGGAAGAAAAGCGGGCGCGTCGGTATCGTCTTTTCGTGCGACTGTCAAGTGGGGCCACGAGGGGAGGTGCGATGGTGGTAGATCCCTTCGTAATCCGCAACAGCAGGTGGGGCCGAGACGTACCTGGCCCACCAGCCAGCCTAAGAATGTCCGATGGCAACAGCGCTACCGCCGGCCGGCGACGGCGGGCGAAGCGTCTCAGCGCGGAGAAAGGGGGCGAGCAGCCTAGAGAGAGAGAGGGATACGCGGGAAGTAGGCGGTGCGGCGGCGAGACGCCGTCATATGGACCGGCCCGCCGCCGCCGGTTGTTTCGGCCGCACCAGCAAGGGCTACACGATCCAGGTATTTTTTGGGGGTGGCTGATTCCTTCTTTTCCCGTCTGTGTGATGCTCTTGTAGATTTTGCAGCAGCCTGCCAGCTCCATGCATTCGTGCTTGGTTTGCTCGCGCATCTCTGTTTGGATAGCTGAATAATCTCGCACATCCTTTCCAGCATTGGGATTGTGCAAAATATTTGGGCTTATGGTGCTTAGGTGGTTTTTCTTTTGAGGGTTATATATAGGTGGTATTCCTATTGCTTACGGGCAATAGCTGCTAAAGAAGTAATGACGTTGTTGATTCAACATACGCTTGAACACATTTTGAGCGAAACAATGCAGCAGTTAACAGCAGAATCTGAAATGGTAGGCGCCGTAGAGCGAAGTTGATTGGTGCCTGTGTTTTTTTCATTTTTTGACAGCAACCTTGTAGATTTTCTCTGGTTTGTGGATCTTTGGCGCCGGGAACACTTGCACATTTTGCCAAAGCGCATGATCCTGCTGCCTTCGGTCCAAAACACGATTTGAGACGATAGTACTTCTTAAGATTTTCTGTAGCTTATTGTTAGACCATCCTCATCACATTTATGCTTAATCGGAAGCCAAAAGGAGAGGTGTGGTTTGGCAATTATTACTTAATGTGAAGCATTTACAGCCAATTTGCTCTTGAGCAAACCTCAGACAAATTTTAACAAGAAAAAACCCTATTCAGTGTGCACTAACAGAGTAACAGTTGTGAATCTTACTCTTTAGGAATGAAGGGGACATACTGTCGTCCTATCTGTATAGTAGGATTATACTGTCGTCCTATCTGTATAATAGGATTATACTGTCGTCCTCTGTATAATAGGGCTATCCAGCATTGGTGGATTGTGGGAAATGTCGGACTTATGGTGCTTAGGTGGTATTTTTATGGCTACAGACAATTAGAGCTCCTGCGAAGTAGAGGATGTTGTTGATTCAACGTGCACTTGAACACCCTCTAACAGCGGAATCTCAAAAGGTAGGTGCCCTAGGTAAAAGTGGATTTGTCTGCTTTTTTTATGGGAAAACTGGATGTATCTGATACTCTTGTCACTTGTCGCATAAATGCTGTGCAGGTTTGAATACTTGGAGCAGTCACCTAGTTTTTGAGCATTTACAGCCAATTTGCTCTTTAGCAAACCCCAGACAAATTCTAACAAGAAAAAATCGTATTCAGTGCGCCCTAACAATTGTGAACCTCACTCCTTAGGAATGAAGGGCACATACTGTCGTCCTGTCTGTAACCGTAAATTATGCCATTTCCAGATTCTTACTTCATACTTCATGGTATGACCACCTAACAATCAAAGGGTTGGCTCTTGTTTTCTTTTATTTACCAGCCTCTAATGAAATTTTAGAATGTTCCCAAAAGGTGTACTTAAATTAAGAGTTCTGAGTAGATGCACTTAGAATTCTCAGGCTTCAAATTGCATCCAAGAGGTCCGCATCTTAGATGCAAAATAATTAAGTTAAGAAAATTGTTCACGGAATTATCCTGGAGACTAGTGGATTCGACCTGGAGCCAACCTCGGCAAAACTTAATTATGTCCGTTGTATCCCAATGATGCTTATTTGAACCCATATATGATCCATCAGATCACTCTGACTTGCTTGTGTACGTCTTGAGTTCTTGGAATGCTTTCCGGCAACCTTCATCAAAGCCACCCGCAAGCTGCAAATTTGGTTTGTTGCAGTTACCTTGGTTAGTTAGTTTGTAGGTAGCAACTCATAATGCCATCCGAAAGTAATTCGTGATTGTGGTAGAATTACCTGATGTATTCGGAAGGCAAAGCGGACACCTTGCAGGAGCAGTTCCTCATCATTTACAAATGGATCTGACTTCAGTGCATTCATAATGCGGTTCATGTATTCTTTTGCAAGCTTCAATGAAGCAGCCTTTAGCTGTTAAGGTAGCAAGAGGATACTTCATATATGATATGTCTATTAGACATGAATTTATAGCTAAAAAGGGTAGTGGGATAATTCCAATGTGTACCACATAACTCGTAAGTTGGTTTGGAGTTGAAGACGAGTTTGTAAAATGCACTTAACTATCTCTTCTCTGTTATATCAAACTGATGAAAAAGATGGATATTAGAAGTTTGGGAGTAGATGGTACATACTTGGCTTATGATTCCAGAATCAAGCATCCAATCCCATGGGATCATGAGATCCTTGTATCTTCCACTTGCACTGTCCCTTATTTTTTCAGTATTGTGAATACCTTGTTCAATTCTACAAGGGGAAGTATGAATCATGTCATATTGTTGAAAGTTTGACAATGCAACAGCCTTACTAAATGCATGCAGTTCGTCTACTCACTTATCCTGTAGAGCTTGCATGCGCTTCAAAGCCATAGGTGTAGCCACTCTCCTGTCGTCGTGAAATGATGATGCTTCTGCTTCCAGGTTCTTCAGATCCCGGTAGGTGAATGCTGCTTCTCTCATGGCATCTGCTTTCTTCTCAGGCCAGTTAGGGAAGTGCTTGAGCACTGCCCGTTCGTCTATCAGGTATGATAGTTCCCCATCTAGCCACTTCACAAACTCTTCAACATCGGCTATTTCCTTGTATGCTGCATTCTGAACTTCCCTTGCCAGGAAGCTAATGAATTCGCCCTGATTTTCTACATCTGATTTAATCTGTTGGAACACAATCATAAGGGAATATTTTTGGATTGGTGAGGAAATTATTGATCTGTACAGAATAATAGGGAGAAAACATGACTCAGATGTACATTAAAAGATTATTCGTACTATAAAAAAATAAAGAGTTATATAACATTATCAACTGCAGGAGGGAAACAGAAAAATCAGAAGAACATGTTGCATTCTCTTAAACTAACACATGGCATTGCTTTTTGATGCATAAAGAAAAGATATCATATATTGTGGTGTATTCGTAAGGTTTTAAAGGTGAGTGAAAATTTTACACAATAAAAAATTACTATTTACGAAATGGGAGAGATGTTTAAAGAATAGTCTATCTGTTGAGATATTGTCTTTAATACAACAATGAACTGGTAACTGTCATGCGGGAGGAAATATTGTGCAATTGTCATACTACTCATACTCTTGTTGCTTATGTTGGTTCGAAAAGAAAAGAAAAATTAAACCAAGGAATTGGCAGCTAAGTAAACAATATATCATATGCACATCTAAAAATAGATAGAAAATCGTATGTACTTACAGCTATAACATAAGCTGATCTGTTCTCTATCTCCCCGATCATGTCTCGGCTGTTAGTAGCTACTGGAATTCCCACAGATCCAGACTTCGCATCGCTTTTGCCTTCTCTTCGTACTAACAACCGGTACAACTCAACTACCTCTGGCACCCTTTGGACTCCCTTGGTGCTCTTCAGTAATTTGGAAGGTAGGGGAGGTGGCGGTGGAGGAGGAGGACCCATGGATCCTTCCTTTTTTGCCTTGATGATCGGTTGGATGCACGTCGGACTTGGTGGTGGATTTGGAACTCTTGGTGCTCTTGATTTCACTGACGGTGTCCTAGAAAATTGCTGCCTGCTGTAACATGCCGAGCTGTTGAGATCCATGGCTTCCTTCACATCATCATTGTTGTGAACAAACTGTTTTTCCTTGAAGTAATTGTTGCTGGTGGCAGAATTCTCTGGCTTCTTCCACATTATCTTTCTATCAGTATCCTGCCCTTCAAGTGAGGAGACTTGGCCTTTTAGACGGCTGACTTGATGCCTCAGTTGCTTGTTCTCCTCTTCCAGTGTGTGGTTCCTCTCGATCAGGCCATGGAGCTTGCTTCTCAGAAGTGCAACACATGCATCACCCTCCCTCATCATCTCTTCTTCGCCAGAGGAGATGATGATCTCTCTGTATGGTGGTACTGATTCCTCTCGTATAATCTATATATGTCTCTTACTTCATCACTCATATAATTCTGTGGAGCACTAAAGGAGATGTAAGTGAGCTTCTGTACAATTCTGTTGAGTCTAGCCAAGAGGAACTTACATATGTGCAGGGAAGAACTGGTGGAACATAAAGTTAGGTAGGATAGGTGCTGCTGCTAGGCTAATTACTTGTCCTTCAAGTGATTGCTATGGGGTACCTATCTTCTTTGTGTAACTTCACTAAAGAAATTCAGTCGTACAAGCTTACGTGTTTCTCTTTTCCTTTTGTGTACGACTATTTTCCAATTCTATCATACATTATTTACCGCCGTCTATGTTCAGTTCACTTGGCTGGTATATTTTTTAGATTTACCTTGAGCTGTCGGTGTGCTATTTTACACCAACCAAGAGGTAAAGGTTTTTTATCACTCTTCTTTCTCTGAAAAATATGTCATTTTCCTTCATGCTTGGTTTCTTCTGATTGCGCTTTTTTCCTTTTTGTGAAGTTGTGACAGCAAAGCCTGAATACTAGCTTTCTTCTGCCTCAAGCTGTGTAAAAGGAACTCAGATGGAACTCCTTTACCAGCCCTGGACACCTTTGGCTAATAAGACCAAGTGAATATTTTGAAAAGTAGAGGGACAAGAAGAAACAAAATAAAGCTGAGCAAAAGAAGGGGAAAAGCAGATCTGAATGTGTTTATCTTTCAAAACACACGGTATTGTTACACTCCTTGGAACTGTAGCTCCTACTGTAACAATCCT